TTTCACTTATTACCTTTCCCTTTAAAAAAAAAAAAACAACACATATATGCAATTAATGGACACTTTTTTTCTGCATTTATTAATCATTTATTAGGAGGCTAACTGGGCAATGCTCATCTCCATGTATCCTACCTACCTTCCCTCTTTAAGTTTCCACCATGGACTCTTTTCAACTTGTGTCTTAATGTCTTTTTCAACAGGCCAGGCACAAACCGACACTCTTATGCTAGTTTACCAAAGGCTGGCCGCGTTAACTAATCAAATCTGATTGTTGGTTCTGTCAACATCTCAGTAGTGTAAAAAAGCCTGGACTAGTGTTTGTTCCTGCCACTGTGAACACCCAGTGGACTAAGTACAGAAGGTGGGTGAATGACAAAGCATGGTGTCTACGACAGGAGAGACATTGCTCTGCCTCTTCTGGTGAGTCATTTGGGCAGAGGAGCAACTCTATAGAGGCTGAGGAACTGTCCCTTACCCAGATAAATGAGAATATTTCCCTTTATATTAAAAACAGACATGATACTGGACTTTTCTTGGGTGACAAACTCTGTGGTTAAATTCCACAAGTGGTCTTTTCAAACTTGCCAAGGAAATCGTAAGTGACTCCAGCATTACCTTTTTTGACACAAATGTCTGCCAAATTGCCTAATGTTTTGGATGGCCTACAGGCCACCCTTCTGCAACTGGGGGTATTGAAGCTGCTCCCCTGATCAAGCTGCCCAATACCACAGACTCTGTGTAGGTGGACCAGAAACCTAGACCTACTTGGCTGGGTGACAGAACCAATCTTCATGGCTGCAGAAACCAGACCACAGGCCTTCTATACATCTATTTTGCAATCTGTTCTGCAATCACAGATTGACAGGATGTATAAATACTGACATAAATCATGAAATACTTCAGATCCTGTGAATAATGGATTCCACAATTCCACTTTAACCTTGCCTGTAAACCACACTGGTCTTTTTATTTTATATGATAGTAACCCATAATAGAGCTTTCCCATCTAAAAGGTCAGAATGTGAGACAGACTCATATACCTGGCTCCGTTTCTCACCAAACACTTCTCCCCAAATGTTCGTCAAATCACATATTTAGGCTCCCTTGTTCATAAAGCTGTGCAACACAAATATTCCAGTAGAGAAATCAGAGAAAATCCTTTTGTATATCATGGCTCCAAGTTCTTTTCAGGGTTGAGGGTCTTATTCCTCAGCTTTAGTTTATGAATTAGAGAAGGCAATCTTAAAGCTCTCCATGGTCCTGGAACAAGAGTTCAACACCACTGTGCAGGCTCTGGGATTGCTCCCATCAAAAGGTAAGAGCTTAGCCTCAATTGTACTTCAAAATTGTTGTACCAGAGGGAACGGGGGGTAGGGAGGAAGGTAGGAGAGGCTGAAGCGGGGAATAAATGGTGATGGAAGGAGACTTGACTTGGGATGATGAACACATGATACAATGTACAGATTATATATTATAGAATTATACACCTGAAACCGATAAAATGTTATTAACCAACGTCACCCCAATGAAGTCAATAAAAATTAAAAACAACACAAAAATCATCATGCCTTAGATACACTGATATGCCTGGCAAGGAGAAGCTTATGCAATCATCAGTGAAAAATGTTACTTCTATATAAGCCAAACTGGACAAATAGTATCTAGCCTACAAGAAAAAATTAACATTTTCCATCAGATAAATGAGGGGAAGACATTGTATTGGACTGACATGTTACCAGGTATGCGGGACCAGGTATGGGGGACTGCCTTAACGTGGTTGTTCTTTTTTTTTTGTTCATCCTCATTCTAATCTGTGTTCTTTCCTCTCTTTGCAGCTCTCTTACCACTCAGCTTTTAACCCATTTTTTTCCTCTCCACAGCAGCCAGTCTAGCTTTTAATATGTGAAATATCCAGGGAAGTTTCAAAGGAGGGAAATGTCAGGTCTAAGACTGGCCACCTCAAAATATCCCACAGTGGCATATGATTATTTTGAATTAAAGTTACTGGACCAAAAACAATAATAATAATAAAGTTACTTGACCAGCAGGCAGTACCAGAAGGGCACCCTGGCCCTCCCTTGTCTCCCTGAATGCAGGAAATAAATGTCCCCTGGGAAAGGTGTCCTACCTCACACCTGGAAGACTCCCCTATTGCTAGAGTTAAACAACTCAGAGCCAAAAAGTCTCTATAATCAACTCTTACTTCCTCTTTTCTAATTTACTACTTTGTTTAAATTTCTCATTAATGAATACCTAAGTCTTGCTTTCCAATGAACACTTTCTTTGTCCTGATGATTTCTCACACATTTATTGTTTGTCTAAAAAGTATAAAAAAGTACCTGGTTCTGTCATTTCTCTGAGCCTCATTTTATGATCTGAACGTTGTCGTTCTTTGGTGCACAGGTAGTACATTGTTTTTTCTCCTGTTAATCCAGTTTTGTATTAATTTTATTAATTCTATTGCTAGGACAGGCATAAGAACTAAAGAAGGGGCAGATTCTTCCCCTCCTGAACAGAACAGATAGTTACTTAACATGATAAAGAAATCTGAGTTACACCAAAAGCCACATCATGCTATATCTGGCATTCCCATCAAACCCGAGAACAAGAAAAGAATGCTTACTATCACTACTATTATATGACACGCTGTTCCAGAAGTGCCAGACAGTGCAATTTGACTCTTCTTCTTCTGGCTAGGGATAGCCTTGCTTATTCTCTCTGAGGTTATGGGTTCCCTGGATATTCTCACCCAGGGGCCCCAGCTTAGCCCTCTCTCTCTAATATAGTGTACAAATAACCTTTCAGCCCCGTGAACTCTAGCCATATTTCCTAGTTTCAGTATTTCCCTTTCTTGACACTTGCCTCTCCAAAGTATAGCACTTCTCTGTATAAACACGCCACTCTTCCTGGTATAAACATAGTTTATCTTCTCTCCTGTTGTAAAAAGCTAGTGATAAACCCCTCCCTAACCCGACTATTTGCCTCCCCCTTTCCCCTTCCTGCTGTGGCTCCTCCTTACGCCTACCTCCCTGGGACTTTTTATAACTTTTATTTCCACACCAATCTTCAAACTACATTATCTAACTCTTCTACCATGTACAACAAGTCCTCAAATGTTATTGTTTCATTAAAATATTAATGAGATTCTATAGGAACCTAACTCTTATTTGTATAGACTTTGGTAAAATTGGTTTTGCTATGTGTCATTTCACTTGAAGTCACAGAACCTGTTGACAGTGTTAAGTGACAATCCTCACTTAATTCATCCCTTGGCTTTCTCAGTGCTTCTGACTCAGGATTGCCTTGCTACTGGACTCGGAGGAGGTTGGGTCATAAAGCAATTGTAGATTCAGTCAGTATTCAGATTACCCGGATGCCTTTCAGTCTACATGTGCCTGGTCCCTGCTTAACAAACAGGGTAAGAGATTGGTGTAAAATGAAGTAGAGTAGATGAGGTATCTGTATTTTTGGATAAGTAATCCACAGAAACTCCAAAGTTGCTCGAAAGGAAAAAAAAAGTGAAAGACATGAACAAACTCACAGATTAGGAATTGCCATGTATTTTTTCAGTTACAATTTTTAATCTTGTTATAGCTGCATTAATTATTCTCTTTCAAACTATAGATATTTCCATAGAGCCATTGACATATGCTTTTTTAATCCACAAAATTACATTTACACACTTAATGTGTATCCTAATTATAATTTTATAACAAAAGAGACAATATTCCAATTTATCTTTCACATACATTGTACCTATTATTTCAATTTGATTAATACTTTCACCAACAGTTTACTATGAATATATTGAAATTATAGAAAAGTTGAAAGAATAATAAAATGTGAAAGAATAACACAATGAGCTCCCATATACACACCATTTAGTTTCTACAATTAACATTTTCCTGTTTCTGTATTATCATATTATATCTATCTATCCATTTATTGATCTATCCATTCATACACCATTTATCTCATTTTTATACATTTCAAAGTAAGTTGCAGACATTAGAATACTTCATACCTAAACATTTCAGTATGACTTGTTTTGAAAGGATAAGATATATCTTAGAGTATTGACATATAAAGATATCCATGATATATTAAACAAAAGGGACAACTTATAAAAATACTACTTATGTTAAATATAAGGATTAATGTAGACATAAGAATTTAATTCCCTAGATGATCTCCATTTCTCCCTTATACTTTCTTAACAAAAGCCCACTTTTGTTCAGTGCGGAAATGTGTCCAGGCCTGAATATTGAATCATGATCGAGTCAAGCCAATCATGGGAATCTTCTCCAATTTCCCAGCTTCATTTGCCAACAGAGAGGACATGTGATCCAGGTCTGGCTAATGAGAACAAAACAGACATCTTCTGGGAATGTGAAGAAATAATGGCTTCTTTATTAGATAGGAAAGATAGATTCCAGCTTGTGTGGCTTGCTCCTTCTACCAATCTTTTGGCCTTGAATGCAGACACGATGTCTGTAGGTGCAACAACCATCTTGCAACCAAAAGACAAAAGATGAGGACAAAAACCCATATGCGAAAGATGGTCTTTACATGTTTTGTGTGTATTTTTTTAAAAGATTATCACATATAAATTTAATATATAAATAACTTTATTAAAAATGAGATATCAACACCAACTTAATTCAAAATAAATTTTGGAGGCCTAAATGAAAAAGTGTGCAAGAAAGTAGAGAAGTGCGAAAAATCAAGTTAAATATATCTTATTGAGTAGTGTTCTGTCTTATCCTGGATTTCCTCTAGAAAATAAGAGCCTGAGACAAGGACATTGATATATATGTTAATGTTGGGAAGTCATCCTAGGCAACAGGAGTAGGAAACTGGGAAGAGTAAGCAGAAATGGAAGAGAAGTCATTAGAAGTGTATGTTTTCAAGTGGCAAAACTGGGGGTAGATCCCACTGAGATGCCATGTAGAAGGCCCTTCAGAATTGTCCAGTGGAGGGAAAGAAGAAGGGAACATTTCAAGACTATCCTTTCAGGCATCATTTCTATAGTTCGTTACTAGAGATGTTTCTCTGAAGGTGTAGAGCACCTGAAACCATGAGGAGGAGGCACAGTGTTCTCTCCTCAGCATGAAGCCAGCTTTTGGTATTGCTTTTGCAGCTGCTAATAGCTATTGATGATTGTTCTTTTCTTCCTTTGAAAGAGTAAGAGGGAAAGAATGAAATCTGAGTGGTTTCTAAGGAAAAAAAATAGAGAAGGGAACGTTTCTCTGCAGCTCCCATATCCATTAGTGAAGGCTCACTACATCATGTGTTAATTCTCTTGCACATCCGCACTCCACACTGTGCATGCTTCAGAATGGCAGAACAGATTCCCATTGCCCTATGGCAGGAAGTGAGACAGAGCACGGCATAGGCAAGTGCTGCCACGTTCCACCTGCTTGCAGAATGGTAGGCTGAGAGGACGCAAGGCAAGGCACGGAAGGTGTTTGACACCTTGTCTGAACACAAGATGACTGCCATTTTGAAAACAGTGGTGGTGGGAGGCGTGCCAACGAGGCAATTTTGCTTTCATTTTCCTCTTTACTCTTTGTATTTTTTTTTTTAATAAAAACAGGGGCAACTTAATGAAGTGAATAAGCATGTGAACTCTGGACCAGAAAACCTGGGTATGAAACTCAACCCCACCATTTAGTTTTTACTTCACTCTTGTCAAGTTAAACATCTGTAAGATGGAGATAATAACAATAGTTACCTTATAGACTTGTGAGCCCTCAATGAGCTAAGTGTTAGTTATTAATAATTATAATAGAAATACATGTTTGTCATAAAGAATCAGAATACATAACTGAATACAATATGATGTTAAGTGTCCTGTATCTGTTAGAATGCTTTCATTTTTTAAAAGATATTATTTATTTATTTTTAGAGAGAAGGGAAGGGAGGCAGAGAAACATCCATGTGTGTTTGCCTCTCACGTGCCCCCTACTGGGGACCTGGCCCACAACCCAGGCATGTGCCCTGACTGGGAATCTAAGAGGCGACCCTTTGGTTCACAGGCTGGCGCTCAGTCCACTGAGTCACACCAGCCAGGAGAGAATGCTTTCATTTTCAAGAAAGAGAAAAGCAACGCACACCACCAGTGAGGGTCTGGAGAGAGCAGATATTGAGATGGGAAGCCTTGGACTCACGCAGTGGAAAGGTGGCATTAAGCTATTTTGTCAGCCAAGTCAGGTTGAGGGGTTGAGGGAAGCTGGGGAGTGGAATGGAACTAGAGTAAATTGAGCAGTTAACGTTAGGATCTAGCTAGCCAAGGGGAGGTGTTCCTTCCCTTCTTCGCTTATCCCTTCTGCCTCTTTTTCTGGTCCTTCACTATCTTGCTTCTTAGCAGCAATACAGTCCCCTTTTGTAACTAAGAAAAAGGAGGACATAGGGGTACTGTGGAGGAACTTCTTGGCTCACTTGGCAAAATAACTAAAAAACAGAAACAAAACAAAAAACACCAAACCAGAAGGTCCAGTCATTGTTTGTTCTGAATAAGTTCATCTGAAAATACTCTTTTGGAAAGCAAACAAAACCTATGCCATTAAATTGTGATTAAAATTACAAACAGAGCAAAGGAAATCTGTCTGTTGGACTACATATTTCTTCTTCCCACCCTTCCCCAACATCTCTTTTTCAAAAAGGAAGACTGTCAATACAAAAAAGGAGGAGGAAGTGGGAAAAAATGAGGACAACTATAAGTGAACAACAATAAAAACTTTTAGAAAAGGAGGAAAGATAGACAAGGAAATGACACCCTGAGGAGTATGGAACAGCATCTTTTCCTGTACTTTGTTTCAAGTAAACTCTAACATGAAAAACACCATATAGGAATCATTTTAGAGTAGGTTTCCTCTATAATAGGGTTGGGAAAGGAGAATTGTGTGAGTGGGCATGAAAAAGCAGGACAGTCCTGTCTGGTGTGGGTCAATGGATTGAACGCTGGCCTGTGAACCAAAGGGTTACCAGTTCGATTCCCAGTCAGAGCACATTCCTGGGGTGTGGGCCAGGTCCCCAGTAGGGGGTGCTCAATAGGCAACCACACATGGATGTTTCTCTCCCTTTCTTTCTCCCTCCCTTCCCCTCTCTCTAAAAATAAATAGATACGATCTTAAAAAGAAAAAAGAGAAAGGAGGACAGAGGCCACTGATTTTCCTAGACCCTGTACTTAGGGTGAATACATGATTCACTAATACCTGAGCTACTTGTGTGCACATTTAAAGTACACTTAATTCTACACTCACTAGTGCGGCTCAGTGGGTTAGGCGTCATCCTGCAAACTGAGGGGTCACCAGTTTGATTCCCAGTTGGGGCACATGCCTGGGCTGTGGGGTAGGTCTCCATTTGGGGAGACGATTGAGGTTTCTCTCTCACATCTTCTCTCTCACATTGATGTTTCCCTCCCCTCCCCATAATGAATGAATAGAATATTTAAAAAATAAAATAAAACATACTTAATTCTTCAGCTCAGCCCTCCAAATTTTATCCTATTTCAGTTTATGTGTGACTTCTTAGAAAAGCCCACTGTTTTAATGTATATGCAATGAAGAAGAAATTAAAGCTCAGGGAGCAATAAGACCACCTCACTCCTTCTATCCTTTGATCATATTGGGATCTAAAATTCATTGATCTACTAATATTTTACTGTCCCTCATTCTACTGCTATTCTCTTTTCCCTCCTTACTCAGCTTAACCTTCCTTGATAACCACTATAATCCCTCCTTTGCAGCACTCAGCGTCCTTGACCCTCTTTTGCTTTATCATATGGAAGTGACAAAAGTCCAACCCTAGATAAACCCAATACCCTATCTATTTGGTGCCTGCGCAGTCAGCTAAATGTGATTGGGATAAAGCACACAGCTGTGCTGACTTGTCTCACTCTAAATGACCACAAAGCTTTATGGACCCTTAATGCTTCCTGGTGATAACACATATTTCTTAAATTCATTCACTTGCCTACTGACCCAGAAGATCCTTTCATACCGTTTTTCTCCTTAAAACTTCAGCATTTCTCCCTGGCTGGTGTGGCTCACTGGATTGAGAGTCTGCCTGTGAACCCAAAGGGCAACAGTTCAATTCCCAGTCAGGGCACATGCCTGGGTTGCAGGCCAGGTCCCCAGTAGGGGGCATGTGAGAGGCAACCACATGTTGATGTTTCTCTCCCTCTCTTTCTCCTTCTTTTCCTCTTTCTCTAAAAATAAACAAATAAAACTTTTTAAAAACCTTCAATATTTCCTTTCCATTCCTGAATAGTAGATGACCACTTTGCCTTCCACTTCACTGAGAACATAAAAGAAATCAAATGAGAACTTTCACAGGCTTCCACTCCTACATCTGTCTGCTTATGAACATCTGTAACCACATTCTCTGTTTGTTCCAAACAACTTTTTTTTACTGCCTAAAGCTAACTCCTTCACTTGTCTACTAGATCCCATCCCCTATCTTCCCACTCAAGGATAATATGTCAAGGTTAAAAAAAAAGTCCACATAAATGAAATAACTTGATTAAAATAACCTAGCAAGCTAAAAATAACAACTAACATCTGGATGGACTCTACAATTTTACAAACCAATTTCACATATTTTTTTACTTCACCCAAGGATATCTTTTATTGATGAGAGAGAGAGAGAGAGAGAGAGAGAGAGAGAAATATAGATGTGAGAGAGAAACATTGAAACATCGATCAGTTGCCTCCTGTATGCACCCAACCGCGGATCAAACCCACAAATCATATGGTTTATGGGACGACACTCCAACCAACTTAGCCACTGGACCAGGGCTTCACGTACGTTTTTGCATTTGATCCTCACGAACATTCTGTGAAGTAGGTTTTATTATTTTTCCTGTTTTATGAGAAAATGAGATAAACAAGAAAAGTAATTTGCTCCAAATTGCTCAGAAATTTTGTTAGTGGTAGAGATGGGATTAAAATATATGCCATGAGTAATAATGAAGAGGTTAAAAATTTTTAACAGGAGAGTACTCTACAAATTTATGCAAACAAGTTTGAAGACATGAAGGAGATGGGCAGATTCTTAGGAAGATAAAAATGATCAAAATTGGCCCAGGAGGATCCAGAAAATGTCATCAGAATAATAACTATGTGAAAACATATTTTGAACTGTCAGACAATTAGTCCTCTGTATTAGAGGTTGCGAAATGTTTTCTGTAAATGAACAAATAGTAAATGTTTTGTCTCTATTGCATATTATTTTGTTTCATTTGTTTGTTTTGATTTTTTTACAGCCCTTTCAAAATATAGCATCTTAGTCCATTTGGGCTGCTATAAAAAATACAACAGACTGGGTAACTTATAAACAGCAGAAATTTATTTCTTACAGTTCTGAGAGCAGCTGAATGCCCAAGATCTAGGTACCAGCCTGGTTGTGTTTCCTCGTGAGAGCTTTCTTTCTGATTCATAGTTGATACCTTCTCACTGTGTCCTCACACGGTGGACAGAGTGGGGAGCTCTTTGTGATCTATTTTATATAATGAAAGCTCTACCCTCATGACCTAGTTACTTCCCAAAGACCCCACCTACTAATACTATTAACTTTGGGATTAGGATTTCAACATATGAATTTGACGGGGAGGGCACATTCAGACCATAGCAGGTAGAAAGTATTCATTTCGGGTGCATTACAATAGCAGGCTACAGGTTGGATTTTGTTTTCAGGCTGTAGTTTGCCAATCCCTGTTCTAGGATCAAGCTACCTGTTTACAGGAAACACAGTAACCATGGAGGTGCAATCAACAAAATCCAGACTGAGGGAAACTCGAACCTACAAACAAAGTTGTGTGTGGTTTGTCCTCAAATTTTCAACATTTGCTCTTCAGTCCTGACTGCAAATAAATTGCAAGGCAAAAGTATTGCAAATAAAGTGGAAGGGCAAAAATCAATTGCAATGTATACATTTTATTTGGATCCTTATTTTTAAAAAGCAAGCATTTTAAAAAAACACCATTTGAGTTAAATCATATGGTTCTTTTTTGACTTTGGGTGGTGGGCACACAATGCAATATATACAGACAATGCATCATAGAATTGTACACTTGAAATCCATATAATTTTATTAACCAATGTAACCTCAATAAATGCAATTTAAAAATATAAAAAAAAACATTTGCGATAAATCAGGATAATTTTAATACTAATGAAATATTCGATGATATTAAGGAATCGAGGTTTTGGGGTTTTTTAGCATAATAACAGTTTGCCTATATCTACTAAAAAATCCTGCTGGGATTTTTATTGGAATTGTAATTAATCTAAAGATAAATTTGGGGAGAACTGACATCTTATTAATACTGAGGCTTCCAATTCATGAATATAGATTATATTCTCTGTTATTTACAACTTTTTTTATTTCTTTCATCAATGTTTTATAGTTTTCAGCATAATGTATACATATTTTGTTAGATTTATACTTAAGAATTACATTTTATTTCCAGCATGATTGCAATTGTAAATCCTAAAATGAACTCCTCTCGATAGCATTGTATTATCCTTTTTATATATTGCTGGATTTTATTTGCTAATATTTTGTTGAAGATTTTTATATGTATGTTTTTAAAGGATTTTGGCCTGTAGTTTTCTTTTACTATCTTTGCTTTGCTTTGTTATCAAAGGAATCCTGGCCTAATGTAATGAGATAGGAATAATGATGTCTCCTATTTTCTGGAAAGAAGTACTTAGAATTGGTATTATTTCTTCTTAAATATTTAGTATAATTCACCAGTGAAATTATTTGGGCCTGAGTTTTTTTTAGGTTTCTTTCTTCAAACTGAAAATACAAGTTCTTTAATAGATGCAGGCATATTGGGGTTATCTATTTCTTCTTGAGTGAGTTATTATAGTTGATGTCTTCTAAGGAATTGGTCCGTTTCATCTAAGTCATTGAGCATAGAGTTGTTTGTAGTGATTCTTTTTTTTTTTTTTTTTAGAAAAAACACAAGTCAAATTTATGAGAGTTGTCACAGTCAGTAATGGTGACCTTCTTGCTGGTCTTGCCATTCCTGAACCCACAGTGCTCCACGGCTGTGACAACATCCACGCCATCTTTCCCCTGGCCGAAGACCACATACTTGCCGTCCACCCACTGAGTCTTGACTGTGCAGATGAAAACCTTGAAACTGCTTGTGTTGGGTCCAACATTTGCTGTGGACAAGATGCCTGGACCCGTGTGCTTCAGGATGAAATTCTCATCATCAAATTTCTCCCCGTAGATAGACTTGCCATCTGTGCCATTGTGGCATGTGAAGTCACCACCCTGGCACATCAATCCCGGAATAATTCTGTGAAAGCAGAAACCTTTATAAGCAAATCTTCTCTCCCAAGTGTTCAAAGCAAGAAAGTTTTCTGTGGCCTTTGGAACTTTGTCTGCAAACAGCTCAAAGGAGGCGCAGCCCAAGGGCTCACTGTCGGCAGTGATGTTGAAGGACACAGTGCGGTTGAAGAAGATGGAGCAGGAAGATTTGAGGCAGCTGTGATGTCTGCAAGGCCAGTTTGTAGTAATTCTTTATTATCCTTTTAATAATTCCTTTTAGTTTGTTATCTGGAGTACTTCTGCAAAGAGAAACTTCACTCATCAATATTTGGGTACTCTGAGTTTGTACAGGAAAGGCAGAATAGATGTCTGATTCTCACCTTTTAATTAACTGATTTCAAAATGAGGAGATTTTTCCCTAACATGCCCTACAGGTGACTAGTGAGGTTTTGTTGTACTATAATTATTAACTTGTGGATTGAAATATATTTAATGTATTTCAGTCGACTTTGGTTATTATTTTTATGGACGCTCAAATCATGGCATGTTTGAATAGTGGGAGCCCCTTTGAAGTAGCTGTAAGTCAATTTGACATGTGACCCAGGGATCACTGAGAGTGTCCTCACTTTCTGGTATGACAAGATGATTCTGCCTGAATTGGTACATTTCTTGCTTCAGACAAGGAATCAGCCTTTCTCCAATGAGCCCTCCTAGTTCCTTTACACCGCTATTGAGTGCATCTCAGTGAGTAGTGAGCAATGTTTTTTTAAAGGAATAGAATAGAATAGAAAATAATAGAGCACATTCTAGTAGTATCAGCCTTTCTCCAATGAGCCCTCCTAGTTCCTTTACACCGCTATTGAGTGCATCTCAGTGAGTAGTGAGCAATGTTTTTTTAAAGGAATAGAATAGAATAGAAAATAATAGAGCACATTCTAGTAGTATGTGATGAAACTTGTTTCAGTTATATATGAGGCCTGTCCAGAAGGTATCCAGCCACGTGATATGAAAAAATAGAGACATTGAAGAAGATCCAAGATACAAGAAACATTGTCCATAGGGCAAAGTCACCTCAGTCCCCTTCCAAGCAGGCACCTTGGGACCTCACACAGTTTTTCCATTCGCCATCAGCTGCCCCATTGCATTTTCCTGAATCTCATCAATGGTCTGAAATCTCTTCCCTTTCAAAGATGATTCTAGTTTTGGGAAAAGCCAGAAGTCGCAGGGTGCCAAATCTGGGCTGCAGCAGGGCTGAGTCACCTGGGTGATTTTGATGTTTTGCCAAAATACTCTGCACAAGACATGATGTATGAGCAGGCGTGTTGTCTTGATGAAGCTGCCAATCACCAGTTGCCCATCGCTGCAGCTTTCTGAGTCACCCAAATAGTTTCCACAGAAGAATATTCAAGCATAATGCAAAATTGGATGCAGATTCATTTCTCTACTTGCTCAGCCATTTTGAATGTGATGGTCACACAGCACGCACGCTCACTCAAGGGCGTCTACCACCTCCACTGACTAGTACAATGAAGTTGTCATTGTTCACACATGTGCATTCCAGTTCACTCTCCTTGGTTGCCAGGTTACATTGATATCACGAAACTGTTCTCATTATATTAACAATGGCTGGACTTTTTCCAAACAGACCTCATATATCTATGTTCTGCTCTATGGTGTAAAATGTATTTCTTAAAATGTTCATGGCCAAATAAGTTCAAATATTACTGAATTAAATGATCCTCCTTAAGTTTCAGTTTTTTATCTTAATTTTGTTTTTAATATGATACGCTCATAGTAAAAGTTTAAATTGTCCAGAATGCTACAAAATGAAAACTTCTCCCTCCCTCTATCTCATTTCCAATCCCCCAAATCAGGACTATTAAAATTATTTGTAAATAAATGCATATACACATATACAGTCCAATTTTTATTGAGATACAATTAATTTATACACCTTATAAATTATATAATATAAAAAACACAGTATGTGATCAGACTCTAGATATTAATGTGAAACTACTTTGTTCACTTACAGACTTTGGATGTATTTTCGTACTAACTAATTCTCTTTATCTGTGCATAATCTGCCATTGTAGGAACGTATATTATTTATATATTCTGTCCCACAATGGTCATTTCAGGGGGTTCCAGTTTGGCTACTACAAAAAAAAATGCTTTTAGTGAATATACTTTCCATGTTTTTGCATGCTTCTGTGGTGAAATCTATAGCACAAATTCCTAAAAGTAGAACTGTTGAGTTAAGGAAAACATGCATTAAAATTTGGGTAGATATTTCCAAATTGCCTTCTAAAACATTCATACCAGTTTACATTCCCACAATCTGTCTATGGTGGTGCCCTTTTCTCCTTGTCAACATTAGTTTTTTAGGCAGCTTTCAGAGCTTGGCCAATGTGACGGAATTGATATCTCAGTGCAGAGGCAGGCTAGCACAGTAGTTAAGGGTGAAGTCCTAGGATCCCAGTAGCTACATTTGATTCTCAGCTCAACCACTTGCAAGCTGTGTGACTTTGCACAAATTACTTCATTTTTCTAAGGTTCAGTTTCCTTATCTGAGAATGGGAATGCTATTCTTATCTTGCAAGGTGGTTGTTGTAAAGATTAAGTGCGTGCCTTGGACTTAATCTTTAGTGTAAATGTTGTAATGTAATGTTAATGTAAATTAAATGCTGATGTCAGTGTTTTATTTACCTTTCAGTATTTTACATTATAAACTTAAAATTCGAAGTATTTTTCATAAGAATAATTGGTAGATTAACTTATTGGTCTAATCGAGCTTTTTGAAGGTTGAAATGTGAATTCACCCACAATTCATTCTTAGTAAGGTTCTTTATTCTTAAATTGCTTTTTACTTTTCAGTTATAATTGACATACAATATTATATTAGTTTCAGGTGTACACCCCAGTGATTAGACATTATATAATTTGCTAAGAGATCACCCCAATAAATCTCATACCCATCTGACACCATACATAATTCTTAGAATATTACTCACTGTATTCCCTATGCTGTATTTTATGTTCCCATGACTATTCTGTTACTACCAATTTGTACCTCTTAATCCCTTCACCCTTTTCATGCATTCTCTCAACACTCTCCTATCTGGCAACCATCAGAATGTTCTCTGTATCTCTGCTTATTTGTTTATGTTGTTTTTTAGATTCAATTGTTGATAGATATGTATTTATTAACATTTTTATATTTTTGATATTTTCTTCTCCTTCCCTTTCCTCCTTCTCCTCTTCCTCTTCTTGCTTTTCCTCTTCCCCTTCCTCTCCTTTGTCCCCTTCTGCCTTCTCCCTCTCCCTCTTCTCCTCTTCTTCCCTCCTCCTCCTCCTTGTTCTTCTTCTTCTTTCCCCTCCCTTCTCCCTACTCCTCCTCCTCCCCCTCCTCCTCCCTCCTTCTATTAGATCCTTTATAACATTTCGTATAATAAGCACTAGGTGATGGTAAACTCCTTTAGGTTTTCCTTGTCTGGGAATCACTTTACTTGCCCTTTAATTCTAGTAGCCTTGCTGGGTAGAGTAATCTTGGTTGTAGGTCCTTGCTTTTCATCACTTTGAATATTTCTTGCCAATCCCTTCTGGCATGCAAAGTTTCTGTTGAGAAATCAGCTGACAGTCTTATGGGAGAGTTCTTGTAGGTAACTAACTGCATTTCTCTGGCTGTTTTTAAGATTCTCTCTTTCTCTTTAACCTTTTGCATTTTAATTATGATGTGTCTTGGTGTGGGCCCCTTTGGGTTCATCTTATTTGGGACTCTGCACTTCCTGGACTTGTGTGCATATTTCCTTCACCAGGTTAGGGAATTTTTCTGCCATTATTTAAAAAAAATATTTTATTCATTTATTTTTAGAGAGAGGGGAAGGGAAGGAGAAAAGGGGGAAAGAAATATCAATGTGTGGTTTCCTTTCTCACAGCCCCCACTGGAGACCTGGTCTGCAACCCAGGCATGAGTCCTGACTGGGAATCAAACATGCGACCTTTTGGTTCAGAGGCTGGCATTCAACCCACCGAGCCACACCAGCCAGGGCTGTAGTTTTCTTTCTTTGCTGTATCTTTATCCGGTTTTGGATTAGGATGATGCTGGCCTCATAAAAAGAATTTGGGAGTCTTCCATTTCCTTGGACTTTTTGGAATAGTCTGAGAAAGATAGGGGTTAACTCATCCTTAAATATTTTGTAAAATTCTCTTGTGAAACCACCTGGCTCAGGGCTTTTGTGTGCAGGGAGTTTTCTGATTACTGCTTCAATTTCACAAGCTGTTATTGGTCTGTTCAGACATTCTGCTTCTTCTTGATTCAGTTTTAGAAGATTGTATGTTTCTAGAAATTTGTCCATTTCACCCAGGTTTTCAAATTTCTTGGCATATAGTTGTTCATAGTGATTTCTTACAATCCTTTTTATTTCTGTGGTGTCAGTTAAAATTTCTCCTCTTTTGTTTCTGATTTTATTTATTTGGGTCCTCTCTCTTTTTTTCTTGATGAGTCTGGTTAAAGGATTGTTAATTTTCTTTATCTTTTAAAGGAACCAGCTCCTAGATTTATTGATCCTTTGAATTGTTCTTTTAGTCTCTATGTCATTCAATTCTGCTCTGATCTTGTTTATTTCCTTCCTTCTACTCGCTCTGGGCTTTGTTGGTTGTTGTTCCTCCAGTTCTTGCAGATGTAGGGTTAGGTTGTTTATTTGAAATGTTTCTATCTTTTTCAGGTAGGCCTGTATTGCTATGAACTTCCCTCTCAAGACTGCCTTCATTGTGTCCCATAGGTTTTGGACTGTTGTGCATTCATTTTCATTTGTTTCCAGAAACTTTTTGATTTCTTCCTTGATCTCATTATAAACCCAATTATTGTTTTATAGCCTGTTATTCAATCTCTGTGAATTTGAATGTTATTGAGTTTTTTCCTTGAGGGTGGTTTTTAGTTTCAGGTCATTGTGGTCTGAGAAAATGCTTGATATAATATCAATTTTCTTGAATTTGTTGAGGCTTGTTTTGTGTCCTATCACGTAGTCTGTCTTTAAAAATGTTCCATGTGCATTTGAAAAGAATGTGTATTTTGCTTCTTTGAGATGAAAGGTTCTATACATATCAGTTAAGTCCATTTGATCTAAGGCATTGTTTAGTGGCACAATATCCTTGTCGATTCTTTGTTTGGAAGATCTATCCGTTGTTGACAGTGGGGTGTAAAAATCCCTTGTTATAAGTGTGTTTCTGTCCATCTCTTTCTTGAATTCCTCCAAGATTTTTCTTATATACTTGGGTGCTCCTATGTTGGGTGCATATATGTTTATAATGTTTATGTCTTCTTGTTGGATTCTTCCCTTGAGTACTATGAAGTGTCTTTCTGGATCTCTTTTTATGGTCTTTGTTTTGAGGTATATTTTTTCTGATATAAAAATTGTTACAATGTGGTGTTTTGATGTGTGAAGCTGTCCACTGAGTGTGCTTGCTTTGGGGCCTCCCAAGAAGTCTAGACCATGGTCAGCCACTGCCTGCATTTTGCCTGGGGCTGCCTGGCATGAACTACAAAGGGATCTGCAGATGACTGCTATTCGTGCTGGACTTCGAGGTGCCCAGGAGAGGCCAAACTGAGAACCAAGGCTGGCTACTGCTAGTGCTAGGCTTAGGGCCAGTTAGTGAGAGATATGAGGCGTGCTGAGGCCAGATGCTGCTTGTTTGAGAAATTTTAGGAAGGTCTGAAACATGAGCCAAGATAGGCCACTCATACAAGAAAGCCACTGGAAACAGCTTGAGTGGGGCCATAAGTTGGTGGGGTTGGGTCACCAGGGTGGGGTGAACAGTGGAGCCAGAGACTCCAACATGGCACCTGCTTGCTCGCTCTGTGCGGGGAGGACTCAGCAAAGGAACAATGGCCTTTGTCAACACTTCTGTCTGGGAGAAAGCTGCCCCTCCAGCTCTTGCCCTCATGCCAGATACTTCAGTTCCTCCCCGTATGTCCCTAGTGCCTTTCGAGCTGTTGCCCCAGTGCTGGAGCTCACAGGGAGTAAGTCTGAGTAAGTCCAGGTACAGGCCCTTTAAGAGGAACTGCCTGAGACTCCAGAAGCCCTCCCTCTCACTCAGCTTCAATCCCCGTTGGTTTTGATAGCCAGAAGTTATGGGGACTTCTCATCATAGCACTGGAACCCAGGAAGGGGATGCCTGGTGTCGGGGCTGGGACACCTCACTTCTCAGAGGAGACCTCTGCAGCCCGGATATCCCTCCCGATTTTTATAAGCCACATATGGTTGTGGGACCTACCTGTTCTGCCTCTCCTGCCCCTCCTAACTGTTTCGATGTGGCTTCTTCTTGGTATCTTTAGTTGTAGGACTTCCTTCAGCAAGATTTCAGGTGGTTCTGAATGATGGTTTTCTATAGTTTAGTTGTATTTTTGATGTGGTTGTGGGAGGATGCAAGAACCGCATTTACCTATGCTGCCATTTTCCTTAGGTTGTGAAACCAGTTCCCTTCCTGTGGTAATGTTGGGTTAACAACGAAGGGGAGATATCATGATTGTCATGTACTGGTTCCTTGCCAGGGCATTGCCACTGTACTGTTGCCTTCTGAGACAACCATCTTGGTGTCCATTGTGTGATGTGCTCATTTATAAAATCAGGAGTCTGATATTATTGCAAATTCATGGAAAAGGGGCCAAGGATAGTATTGTTCTAGAATACCTTATTAAAAGTTTTTATTTTATATCTTAATATTTTACTTTAAGTATAAATGCATATTCATTTGCAGTCAATGATGTTATTCTGAGCACTTGTCTACTGCTTGTTTTAATCATGAAAAAAGGAGAGATTTTAAAAATAGAAAGAATTGCATGTTTTGTCTTGTGCTGTTTTACCTTAGGAGAAACTAAAAGAACTTTGTTAAGGTCAATTATCTGAAGGCTTCTTTATATCTTATCACCCCCAGGGCCAGAGACCTTTTGGAAATTATTTCAGTTGTTTTATTTTATTCAAGTTGTCATTTTAGTAATTGTCCTAAAAGTATGTAATATGCTATGTGATATGAGTTAAAATGACCACATATAAAATGATATGCACATTCACAGTTATTTAATCACATTTATTTATTACTTAGAATCAGATGTCAGATGAACTAGTGTGGAAACCAGAAAGCTTAACTGTTGCCACAATGAGGAGTGGAAATCTCCATTCATGCTATTATTCAAAACCATTGTATGAGAACAGCAGTAGATTGGTGGGTATTGATATCTTTCTGGGAGTTTACAAGTAAAAAGCCATGTTTTTTTCGTCACCTTTATAAAGTGTCTCAGAATTGAAATAGGCTCTGTTTGGATTCCTTTTTTGACCTGTGGATAATTGGAAATTAAAATGAACACAGAAAATGGCCACATGGAGAAAATTCCCAGGTCCTTAAGTATAGAGAGCTTTGATATGGTCCTGCAGAGATGAAAATGTGATGGAAACAGTGAATCTTATAAATAAAGAAGTTTATTTATTTATTAACTTCAAGGTGGTTGATCACATAGATTAAAATAGATCACATTTTTAAAGCTATGTATTGATGGCTCTTTTTCACCAAAAAAATATCAAAAAGGGAGATACGAAGGAGGGTGTTGTAAGTGGAGATGTAGATGTATAGAGAACTAGGGAAAAGGATTTTTCCCTTCCTTTGACCATTTGTCACTTAGGGCTCCTAAAATCTTGGCTTAAGCTAAGGAAAGAAACCAGGCCAACTGCAGTCAAAGCAGCAAATGGGCCAGAGCCAAGAGTGGGTCTGGGACTGGTGCCAACAGTAGTCCAGGATTTAGACTACGCTAGAGCTAGGGGCAAGGCTAGCCATGTGATTGGGGCAGGGGAGCTGATATGTCCTTTGTCTTATGTTCCATGCGGTGTAAGTGTGGAAATTCTAAAGGGTCGGGCCGACATGGCATGGGAACGAGATCTGACAGCTCTTCAGAGAAGTTCAACATACAGCCTTCATTAATACTAAACCTGGGATCATTTCAAATCATTTGCTACTGTTACCAACAAATGACCCTGAACTGTTTTTCCATCTTACAGTACTAAGTATACCTAGCCACATAAGCAGTAGGGAATGGGGATTAGATAGCAATGTATATTGGACTGGAAGCGCATTGTGACACTGGAGCAAAAAACTGGCTTCACAGTCAGACCCAGATTTAAATCTCTGGTCCATTATTTATTTCCTGTGTGACCTTGGCCAAGTAGCTTAACTCTTCTGAGTTTCAGTTGCTTCATCTGTTAGATGAAGGTGACAATAGAGCCTTCCTTAATGATTTGGTATATACAGTAAACGAGATCCTTTATGTAAAATGCCTGGCCTAAGAGAAGTCCTCATTCTATGCTGGCCCCTCTCCCCGCGCATCTCACTCTTCCCCTCAAGTTTCTCTCCTTGTTACTGATGTAGGCCAGTTAACATCTGTATCTTCTCTACCTTTTTGTAAAAGAAGGACTGAAGCATTTTAAGACAAAGAGCTTTAGGATTCTTTATAAGGAGCACAGGGGTTATAAAATATTAATTTGTATCTTTAAGATAAAACTCTTTTAAAATACATCTCATAAATTAATGAAACTTAACAAATGTCATTTGGAAAATGGCCTTTCTTTTCAGGCTCTCAGACAGTTTTTAAAAGAGCTCCTTATATATTTTTTTCGTATGTGGAGAGGAGCAAATGGTTAATAAGCACTGTAAAGAAATATTTTAATGAGGCTAGCTGTGGTCCCAGATGGGCAAGAGAAAGCAAAAGCTGGCATGTTAAGTCAATATTGGATATTTATTTGGTTTTCTTGGGCAGTACATTGCGTTTCCTAAGAACCTGTAACATCTGTTTTCTGTGGTTTCCCTCTCTTTATATATTTCAAGTTGTGAAAGCAATTTGAAATTTATAGGAGGCTGATATGCTTCATTGGGATTAAAGGATTATGGTTCTCTTTCCAGCGTGAAGGACGTGACGGACAGACATGTGAAGCTGAGAATCTCCTATCCTGGATGACCTGAGCTGAACAGAGTTGAGACTTGTAGCTGTCCTGCAACTCCACCTTGGAGTCATCCACTCAAATGATTAGCTCCAGGATTTCAGGTTTTGGTTCCTAAACTCCAAAGGGGAGTCTTGGCCATGTGGCCATGCTGCAGGCCTTGTGAGTATTTTCACTGCCCTAAGTGGTGACGGTATATTAACCAGACCACAAACAAGGCTGGAGTTTCTGTGTAAGTTGAAATATAAATTCCTCTGAGCCTGGCTTTTTAATTTCCTAGGATGACGATGAACAGGGATCAAGTTGTGTGGTTATATAAATAGTAATGTTTTTCTAGGAATATCACTGTCAGCAGCCTGAATCCTCTCGGGCTCTGGTGCTGTCTTTCAGAACAAGAACAATGAGCTTCAGATCAGTATTATCTCTCTTGCTCCAAGCTCAGTGGTCTTCCCACAGTATCACAGCTGAAAGAGAGTGATTGCTTAGGAAAGACATACTATCCTGTATCAAGACTGTGCAGGCGTTGTTACCTTGACATACAAGAAACAGGGGAAATGGAACTTCTCTTCCTGAACATTTTTAAACATTTATTTTCTAGAGCAGTTTTAGGGTCACAGCAATTTAGAGGGAAGTACAGAGATTTCACATGTGCCCCTGCCCCTCACCCATGCATAACTTCCGCCATCACCACCAACTCTCACCTGAGTGGCACATTTGTTACAGTCGATGAACCTGAAGTGACACATCATCATCACTCCAAGTCCCTAGTTTCCATTAGGGTTCACTCTTGGTGGCGTACATTCTGCAGGTTTGGACAAATGTATGACATGCATCCATCATCATAGTATCTTACAGAGTATTTTCGCTGCTCTAAAAATCCTCTTGTACTCCATGTATTCATCTCTCTCCCCTGGTCCCCACCCCTTGGCTAACACTACTCTTTTAACTATCTTCATAGTTTTGTCTTTTCCACATGATCATACTTGATATTGGCACCATACAGTATGTACCCTTTTCAGATTGGCTTGTTTCACTTAGTAATATGTGCATTTAAGGTATTTAAGATTCCCCATGTCTTTTCGTGTCTTGATAGCCCATTTCTTGCGTTGTCTGGATGGACCATAGTTTATTTGTTCATTCACCTAATGAAGGACATCTTGGTTCTTTCCAAGTTTTGGTAATTATGAATAAAGCTGAAAGGAAATCAAATTTCCAAATATTCAACTTCCTTTAGTACTATTTGTCTAAAACTAGTTGCCTGAGAACTACCCTATGTGTACCTTTCCCATTATTCTTTCCTAGCCTCTCAGAAGGAAAACATATCTTTCAAAGGCCACAAATCTTATTATGGTAATTTGACCCAGGGTGTAGAAATCCTTGGGGCTAAACAAAGCAACAATTTTGAATATTGATATCCAATAAACTTTTTTTCTTCCTTCCTTCCTTCCCTTCTTTCCTTCTTTCTTTCATCTTTCTTTCTTTCTAGCTTGTGTGGAGGTTCTAGCAGGGGAGCACAGTTACTTGTACACCCGTGACTGAAGACCGGTCCTCTCCTCTAGTTGGGAAGGTTGTCCTCTTTGACTGAGTGGCAGGAAGCTTTGAGAGGGACACACATGGATAGGTGAGGGGGGAAGGGGACACCTGCCAAGCCAGCCAGATCAATCAAATCAACCCTGGTGATCAAAGGGGTGACAGATATCGCAGCCAGATTGTCTTCACATACATCTTTTTTTTTTTTGATATCCAAGAAACTTATTTCACTCAAGGCCCTATAACCTACCCTTTCCCCATCCATCTCACTGAGATGCATTTCCAATAAAATTTTGTTTTATGTTTAATAACAATCATAATGTATATCTTCATGTTATTTTTATCCATTGTGTATACATAATAATTCAAATTATAACTCAACTCAGAAGACTTTTTACTTGGAGCTTTATGGTAAAAAAAATTCACTTTCTATTTATGGACATGTTTTGTTGCAGAGAAATTCAATATGGTGATCAATAAAGGACTTTCAGGTACAGATATAGTTTATGATCTAATACAATCCTATGGGGAGAATGCAATGGGCATTTGGTTTCAAGGAGAAAAAGGAATAATGTACATTTTCTGTAGGTTAAAGAGAAGTTTACACTTTTGTTTTGGTTTCAAGGAGAAAAAGGAATAATGTACATTTTCTGTAGGTTAAAGAGAAGTTTACACTTTTGTTATTCTTTGGTTTCAAGGAGAAAAAGGAATAATGTACATTTTCTGTAGGTTAAAGAGAAGTTTACACTTTTGTTATTCTTTGTGTTTAATGTGTGATGGTAAATCCAATCAAAATCGTTTAAAGCACGACAGCTTTATTTTAAATTGTCAATATGTACAGTATAGTAGAAATTACACCTTTGCAACCATTTAAACATGATTAATAATATAGATGTCAACCTAAAAATGTGTGAGGGAGTGCATAGCTTCTCAAAATTCTTTAGGGGTTATGTGATTAAAAAATTGAAGACCCCAATCCTATTGAATTGTTGTGAGGGTAAAGTATATGTGTACAAAGCACCTAGGATAATGCTCAATTACGGCAGCTGTTATTTCAAGGACTGAGTGCTAATTTTAACCCTCTTTCTTCCTTGGGATTTTATCCAGGGCATCTGTTTTCCTCTGCACTTTTGCTTCATTGTGTAAAGAATAACACAGATGATTGTAAAACGCTTTGAGTATAGTAAGTTAGATGAGCATGATTATACCTAATATCAATAATATCAATGATAAAGTTCATAGTGATGAAAATGTAAGTATAGGCTCTGTTAATCAAGGCATATAGCAAATGTTGAATAAATGTTTGTCTAATTATTGAGTGAATGCTATAGGGAGCCCTGCTAGAATGAAAGACTATATACCTATTCATTAGGCACCTTCCCCTAGTACCTGCATTGGTGCTTTTAAAACCCATTTTGGGCATTTTCTCATATAGATAAAAAGGGTGTGAAGTAAAATCCTACCCTGGGATGTGGCTATTTATGAATTTTCAGAAGGTGTTTCCTCATTAAACTCTTTAGCATTCTGCAATATAGTGTAGTAATTAAGAGCAGTGTCTCTGGAACCAGCCAGATTAGGCTCAAGTTCAAACTGTGTGTCTTTGGGCCAGTCACTTAACCTCTCTCTGACTCAGCTATATCTTTAAATGGGCACAATAACAATACTAACCTTATAGGATTGTTTCAAGGATTAGGAAGATTGGTTATGGGATATTGGATATTGGTTGTGTGGAAGGTAGAAGAATGTTTCCATGAAAGATGCCATGCCCTAATTCCCGGAAACCTGTGTTGACCTTGTTTGGCAAAAGAGACTTTGCAGACGCGACTAAGTTAAGGATCTTGAGATGAGGAGATTATCCTGGGTTATTTGGTGGGTCCTTATAACTGAAAGAGGGAGTCAGGACAGTCAGTGTCCCAGTGATGTAGTGGGACAAAGACTTGATAAGCCACTGCTGGCTTTGAAGAGGGAGGAAGCGGGCTATTATCTAGGGGATATGGACAGCTTCTAGAAGCTGGAAAAGGCAAGGATATAGATTTTCCCCTTTATAGCCTCTAGAAACGAACACAGCCCTTCTGACATCTTGATTTTGGATCAGTGAGGCCCATTTCTGATTTCTGACTTCCAGACTGTAGAATAACAATTTGCATTGTTTTTTAAATTTTATTTATTTATTTAAGACGGGGAAGGCAGACAGGGAGAAAAACATCAATGTGTGGTTGTCTCTCTCACGCCCCCTTCTGGGGACATGACCTGGCTTGCAACCCAAGCATGTGCTCTGACTGGGAATAGAACCATGGACCGTTTGGTTCGCAGGCTAGCACTCAATCCACTGAGCCACAACAGCCAGGACAAATTTGCGTTGTTTTAAGTCACCAAATTTGTGGTAATTTGTTATAGTAGCAATTGGATACTAATACAGGTTAATTTGCCATTATTTCTCCATTTACAACCCATCACTTCTGGCATTTCAAAACTTTCTTCACAGGGCAATGTAATCCTAAACACTTCTCCAAAATCAAAACAGATCCTTTTGCCCATGCACACTATTTTCCAGCCCCTACCTACTCAATCTCATGGCAGACACACGTTCATAGTAAGCCCCTCTTCTCCTGCAATGGACAATGGACAAGACGCCTCTTGGGTTAATTGCAAGACAATTTGTAACATCCTCTTCCTAGGTTTTCCACTTACACATGGAAAATCATGTGCTTTAATCAACGGCCTATGCAATGAGTTGGGTCACAAAAACCATGTTCTGAGGTCCTGTTCAGGAAGAAGTGAAATCCTCCTTATGATTTTTTATTTTTTTGACAGGGGTTTATGAGCTTGACACAGAGGTCCTGGAGCAGGAGTCACCCTTCCCTGCAGGTTGAAGGCCCAGGGGAATTAGAGCACTAGGAGAGGGAGAAAGAGGAACGGGTAGAGAAAAAAGAAGTTGGTAGCTCAGACGGAGGCTAGAAAGAAAACAAATAAACAATCCAGTCAAATAATGGTAAATTAGACGTAGCCTCTCGCAATCTCCTCACGGGTTCTGCTCCAGTTTCGGAAACTTCCCACTTAAGACTCCAGTGTGGCGCACCTGCCCCTGGAGGCTGGGCCGGGGCCGCGAGCCTGTGGCAGGCTGGGAAACCTTTCAGGGAGAGCAGCAGTCCCTGCGGGGTGGTCGGGAGATCGCAGGGAGGAGTCAAGGGGCGTGAAGCGGAAAGACTACATCTCCCAGGCCGCCACGCTTTCCAGCTGGAGTACTAGGGCGCTGACTGCTCCCCAGTTTCCGTAGGGAAGCGCCGGGCCACCGCAGCTATTGTACGTCGTGCTCTCACCCTCCTCCTCCCGCTTGGATGTCCGTGGAGGAAGGCTACGTTTCGTTGCCTCCTCGGCTTAACCCCTCCGGCGCCTAAGAGGACAATAGGCTGGCTCCCGGGGAGCTGGAAAAACTGCTGGGAGCCCGGGGACTCCGGTAACAAGATCCTAGGGTGCGAGGAAGGCAGCTGAAGAAACAGATCGGGTGCTCATTTTTGGGACCAGGGCTTCGCTGGGGCAGGGCAGAGGCTCTGTCTTTAAGAAGGGGGAGGGGACGGTGCAATCAGGGTTGCCCGCGGAGTTCGGCAAAGGAAATCTGCTAGCTCGGAAGCGAGGAGCAGCGAGGAGCGAGGAGAGAGGCGTCTCCCATCCCCAGCTCTGACCCCCGCCTACACCCTGGGCGGGCCGAAGTGTCAAGTTTGCAATTGCTTAGAAGGATCCGGCCGGTCTTCGGAGGAGAGCGGGGCTGCGGTTTCGGCTGCCTCTGTGGGAAGGCGATTGCTAGGGGTTATGTTGATTACTAGGCTGCGCCCTGCCGGGATCCGACTGCATTAATTAGCTCTCCCAGTCACCTGAAGCAATCGCCGCCGGGTCGGTACAGACCAGCCAGCTCCTCCAGGAATCTCCTTAGAACAGGTACCTGTCTCCAAAGGGAGGGAGGCGGCGAGCAATCCATCCGATCTACTCCCTTTGCTGTAGCACTGATGCTCTTGGTCTTTGTATTTTTCTTTTTTCCTTCCAGCCCCCGCCATCAGAACCATGGGGCATCCTCCTCTGGAGTTCAGCGACTGCTACCTGGACAGCCCCAATTTCCGCGAGAGGCTGAAGTGTTATGAGCAGGAGCTGGAGAGGACCAATAAATTCATCAAGGACGTGATCAAAGACGGCAACGCGCTTATTAGCGCAATGAGAAGTAAGTAGAAGGCTTCGATGTGGTGCTTCCTTGATCCGGTGGCTCTGGCCTTTAAGTTCTTCCACACAGCAGGGGGAAAGGAGGTTGTAGAACATTGGGCCTTTTCCTTTAGTGGACTTGACCTTTTAAGACAGGATCTATAGTGGGCCTCGGACCCTGTGCCTCTGCTTGTTGTTCGAAAGGGACAATCTGCCTGTACAATCAGACATGTTAAGCACCCATGCTTGTTCTAAGGGGACATCCAAGCTGATCAAGTAACTGCCCCAGCACCTCCTAAAGAATTGGGAGTTAAGGTTAATAGCCTGAGCAGTGGTTTTGTCCTGGTCTCTAGGTGTGTGGGGACAGTAAAACATTCCCGGGGCAAGTTACTTTTCTAAAGAAAGCACCTTTGCCCAGTGATTTTTTTTTAAGTTACTGAGCTATAGTTTTGGTTAAGGTCAGTCTAAGCTCAGATGGCCTCACATGCCACTGAATTCTGCTTGAGGGTGGAACAAACAAAGACCTGTCTAGTCCCTGGCATAAGGAGCCCAGCCCCCAGGGAGAAAATTACAGAGCTAAGGTTGGCAGCCATGAGACGCAAGGAACCTCACCTAGCTTGGCTTTCCCAGTGGCCACAGCTGACAGCTGTGGGACTCCCCCTCCCTTCCTACTGTGTGTAGAGTTTTTATTCCTGCTAGTTGGCAGAAGGTTTGGAGTAAGAGAAAGAATAATAAACATCCCCACCAAGAGTGCAGGCAAACCAACCCTTTGTGCCAAAAGTATATACCCAGAAGAGTGGATGATAGCGATTGGGTGCAGTGATGATTATTTTTTTCTTTTCTTGCCTGAAAGATGATTGTGAAAAATAAAGTCAGACTCACTGGCAAAAGTGCCCTGTATGCTTATGACTATGTTCTGAGTGGATTCATTCCAAACATACTCCATCTAGGTGCAGTGTGCAGACCTTCATAAAGCAGATGCAGACAACCAAGAGCAGGGAGAAAGGCTTGGAGTGTCAGCCTAGTGGTAACTTCTGCCGGCTGGGATTTGTTGTGTAGCTCTTCCGATTTGTCCCTTGGAGTCTGGGCTTTCCTGGCACATGCTGTCTGCTTGATTTAGTCAGGATATATAAATTCTCAAAGTGCCTGCTGGTCATTTGAATGAATTTGCTCATTTAAAGGTTTGTCCTGTTGGCCCAAACAAGAGTGAACTCTTGGCAGCACCTTAAAGTTGGGGTATTTGATGTTGATCCTTTGAGACTTACAGGCCAGGCTTTGGGGTGTGTCTGCACTGAAGAGTTCATTGAGAGGTTAAAGATATGCAGGTAATGCCACAAAAGTAGTTAGAAAGGTGAGGGTTCACCAAAAGGAAAAGGTAGGGAATGTTCCGATATTCTTTTTATTTACTTATTACAGTAAACTGCTTGGTGCAGTATCCACAGTCAACTGAAGCGCCTCACAAGGCCCAGGAAGGGAGTGGCTTTGTGAAGTCTACCGTAAGTTCAAAGTGGTTGTGCTAAAAACTAAAAAATGATCAGCTAAGGCACATCAGAGAGATTAAGATTCATAAGAAAAAAAAACTGTTCCATAAAACAGTTGAGGAAGGGCAAAAGTTTTGTAAGCTAGGACAAGTTGTGTTTTTTTTTTTTTTATTCTTTCCTTTTCTGAGACTGAACGTGGTAAGGGTCAACAATTATGCAGACCTACACCTTGGAATACACGCAAAAGATCCAAGAGATAATTTGGCGCTGGGGGCTTCTCGATATTTATGTTGGTTTTCTGTTTCTGAGTATACATAGAAAGCCCAAAATAGGACAGGTAGGAAATAAAACCCAGTAGCTAACCCACATTCCATTTCTTTCCTTTAAGTTGCATGATTCTAAAAACGTGATTAGCAAGAGGCAAAGCCATGATGTATTTCAGTGTGTTGACCACAGTAATGTTTATACTCCCACTCTGCTTCCTCATGCTGTGCTAGCTGGGCGATGGTTTGAGTCAGTGGGGTGGGAGGAAAACAAATGTAGGCTCTTGCTTTGTGTGGAGGAAAAAGGAGAGGAAAACACTGGGAATTGGATTTCTTTTTTTTTAACTTTTATTTTTATCGTTGACACTATTATAGATGCTCCCCTTCCCCGCCGCCCCCAGCATTGCTCACCTCCACCCACCTGCCACCCTCTTTCCACCTAGTTATCCCCACACTTGTATTTATGTTATATATATATATATATTTTTTTTTTTTGCTGAATACCTTCATCTTCTTTAATCCAGTCCTGCAACCCCTCTCCCCTCTGACAGCTGTCAGTCTGTTCCATGTATTCATGCCTCTGTTTTGATTTTGTTCATCAGTTTATTTTGTTGGTTAGATTCCACATACAAGTAAAGTCATATGGTATTTGTCTTTCACTGACTGGCTTATTTCACTTAGCATAATAATCTCCAGGTCCATCCATGCTGTCACAAAAGGTAAGACTTCTTTTTTTATGGCCGTGAGTATTCCATTGTGTAAATGTCCACAGTTTTTTGATACACTAATCTACTGATGGGCACCTGGCTATTGTAAATAATGACGCAATCAACATAGGGGTGCATGTATTCTTTCAAATTAGTGTTTTGGATTTCTTAGGATATCGGGAATTGGATTTCTAAGACTTGGGTTACCATCTTGGCTTCACCATCTTGGGATAAGGTTGCACAAACTACTTTGTCTGTAAAGTGGGGGTAGTTATACCCACCTCACAGGGTTGTTGTGAGGCTCCAAGGAATTAATGGATTATGAGTGCTTTATAAATGGAAACAGCTAAATATTGTAAGTTGTTTTGATACATCTTCAGTTTAATAATATATCTGCTGATGAATATGTGCCTGTCAGGAGGTTTCTGAATGGAAATGTATCAACAGATGTAGTTGGAAACATTTCTTTTTGTTATCGTCTTGTTGGAAAATGTCCCTCCCCACATTGGCATGTCTCAGCAGTTCATTTTGTATGGGTGTGGATTCATTTTGGCAATTGAAATCTGGTATTAAAAGTCAGGAAAATGAGCCCTGGCCAGGATGCTCAGTTGGAGTGTCATCCTGTGCATCAAAAGGTTGTGGGTTCAATTCCCGGTCAGGGCACCTACCTGGGATGTGGGTTTGATCTCTGGTTGGGGGCCCATTCAGGAGGTGACTGACTGACGTTTCTCTCTCACATCGATATTTCTCTCTTCCTCTCCACTGTCTCTCAAATTAATAAAAAACCATAAATCCTTTGGTGAGGATTTTTAAAAAAATTCAGGAAAATAAGTGACACCTTTTTTATTTAATTTATCAAGTTGACCATAGAATCAGATGGCTAGTGTTTCTAGGAGCTAATGAAACATGGTGCATCCTGCTGGGAACCCCTGCTGCAGTTTTTGTGACAGTTGTTAGCCCAGAGGGGACTCGATTCTTACATTTATCCTGCTTGTGTCTGATGTAGTACAGAGCTCTAGAGGAGGTTATAGCCACAACTGAGCATGATGCTTAATTTATTAAATGTAGGTCCTGTTTGAATATTTAAATTTACTTAGTTCTGCGCTCAGAGGTAATTGTCTATTAATGATATTCAACATACTTCCCTTGGGGAAATGGTTGATTCCCCCCCCCCTTTAAATGTGATCTATTTATAATTGTTGGAGTACAAGATGAAGATTATAACTTAAAGTAACAAAAATAAAAACACTACCTATCTGAAGGTGAGTAATACTGCCTCTTCTTCTGTTTGTTCTTTGTTTTTATGTTAGGAGTTTTGGTCCCTGATGTGGTTTGAACATTTTCTAAGCACTCAGGTTAGGTAGTACTCAGAACAAGTGGTGTGGCCCCTGCTTACATCCCAGTGGAACAAGAGACACCTAATGAGTGTTATATATAGTTCAATGAACACATGCCATTCATTCAGCAAATATTGTGCGCATACTATATTCAAGTCATTGTTCTCAGGGCTGTCACAGATGTGACAGTGTGAGTCACAGATGGATCCTGCCCTCAAGGAGTTCCCAGACAAGATATAGGTAAAGAATAGTATCATATAAGGTAGTAAATATGGATCAGAGCCATAGGAGTGGCACAGGCGGGCACCATGGTGTGTACCTCAGAGGGAGAGCCCATTTCCCAATGGGAGGACAAGGGAATAGAAAGGAGGAAGGAGCATTGTGATTGGGCAGAATTAATAACCCTTACCACTTGTTTAGCTGTTCCCATGTGCCAGGCATTAACATCTTAGAGCCTTTAAGAGGTAGGGATTATTATTTTCATTTTGTAGATGAGAAAACTGAAGTTAAGTAACTTTCTCAACTAATAAGGGCAGGTGTCTGAATTAGAACCCCGACCTGACTCGAAAGGTCCTGCTTATTTTACTGCACTGTATTCAGGAGAGGGCATTTATTGTAGTACTAATGACACAGAGAATGTAAAGGGACAGCAAATAATTCAGGTCGTCTGGAATATGAAATACAGGAAGGGAGGCTTGGGAGATGAGGGTGGAATGGAAGGTTGAGGTCTTGACCATGGAGGAACTCTTAAATACTTCAGACTTTTTAAAAATTAAATTTATTGGGGGTGACATTAGTTAATAAGACTATATACAGGTTTCAAGTGCACATTTCTTCTTCTTAAAGACTTTATTTTATTTTTTTAGAGAAAAGGAAAGGGAGGGAGAATGAGAGGGAAAGAAACATTAATGTGAAAGAGAAACATCAATTGGCCGCCTGTGTCATGCGGCCCTGACGGGGGACCAAACCTGCAACCCCTGCATGTGCCCTGACTGGGAGTTGAACCAGCGACCTTTCACTTTGCGGGACTATGCCCAATCCACTGAGCCACACCAGCCAGGGCTCAAGTATACATTTCTGTGATACATGATCTGTATATTGTATTGTGTTCACCACCCAGAGTCAAATTTTCCATCATGATATATTTAACCCCTTTTCCCCTACAATACCTCCACCCTTCTTCCCTTTGGTATGAATTTTTGTTTTTCTTGTTTGTTCATTTGTTTCTTTCAGT